TCCTCCCCCTCCTCTTCCTCCTCCTCGTGACTGAAGGTTTTGAGTGGTCGAATTGTTGAATAAATAGTTCAACAGCGAAAAATGACTTCTGCACTTCACCGATAACCTGCTATGGATTTTCATTCGTATAATTTGTCATCCCCCTCTTCCTCGCTTCCAACAAACACCATTTCTGAAAGCGGCCAAATCACAATGCCCGAAATGTGCTCATTGTGTAACTGGAAGACTCTAAAATCACCACCAAATAGGATTCTTTGTCCTCGAAACAGTCATATTGTCCTCCTTTGCAGGCACAGAAGTGCAATCGGTGAAGATGTTGAAGGTGATCAAGTGCGGATCTCGGGTTTTACCTGTTCTTCTACTGACATGTTGCATGACAGATGGCAGGTGGCTCTTAGCCTGACCAAACGAAGGAAGCAACATGCTATTGTAAACCTCTGATGGCCAACAGGAACATCCACCACAAATGGTATTGTGAGGCACTTTAACGCTACCTCTTTTTCAATCACCTTGGTTAGGCGATGCCAGAGGAAATTTGGGTTTTTGAGCACTACAGGCAGTGTGGGAAGGAGGTGTTGCTTCTTCACAAATTTACTCACTCTTGAGAGAGTTATTTAACCCTTCTCATCCCCTTCCTCCGCACTCTTATCATTAGTAGGCTGACAAAAGCTGAGATTTCTCTTTCCTCTAGACAGGACAAAATTATTATTCCCCATCTTTTCTACTTGAATTCATCACTTCTCCCCTATTCTAAGCAATAGTGAAAGGAGGAAAAAGAAAGAAAATAAACTTTAAGTTTACAGGAAGTCGTAGTGATGGATGGATGGATGGATGGACAGGTGGAGGGAGACGGTGGTGAGATTACTTTCATCCACTTAGGTAACGGATTTTCAACCACTGACAGCAAGTAGCTGCTGCCTTGTAGACTGCTTCTGCTAAATTTCCCTTCTTCATCACTTCTTATTTTTTTCTCATGAAAGCAACTCTCAAATGCGACAAATCAGTCATTCTGTTAAGGTAAACGATACTGCATTCCTTCATTTCCACTCCAGATGAGGCATTTAAGTATGCCTTTAGTCTTTCGAGGCTACAATCTAACCACTGCTACTTCCTATTTCCTCGCATTTTTGTTGATTGGGATCACGTCTGCCCCTCTTCAGCAAAGGCTGAAATGGGCCATCTCCATGAGGGAAGGGACTTTGAGTGGTCGAGTTAAGCTCCTCTTCTCCCCTTCAGAGGGGAGGCAGGAGGCTGTACCACCTTCTTTCCTCATTGGAACCAATCGTAGGTGAAATTTGCATATCAAGGATTTGTTGGCATTCTTTTCACCAAATTTGCCTTACTCACGTAATTCACTGGGTCTACCTTTCATCAAATGAAGGCAGGTGTGCATAATTAAGCCCCAGGATATGGGCAATATTTCTAACTTAAGTTGCCCATTTCTAACCCTTCATCTCTCGCCCTCTTTAAGGCTCTGTGCCCTTGGGAATGGGCGGAGAACGTTTCACCGACAAGTGGATTAAAAAAATTCGTCTAAATATGATTAATTCACTGGATGCAGAGAAAATGGTCCCTCAGGGAGGAGGAAAAGTCGCACCGCCTTTGTCCTTGTATGAGAGAAGGTTTTTTTTGTCAAAGCACAAATTCTCGTGAAGTCGCCTTTTGTTTAGGGAGTGAAGCCATTGGAAAGGCGTTTCATTACTCCAATCAACACCGATCTCAGTCCATATCGTGGACAAAACGAACGAAATTATGGAGAGTGGTGATGCCTTTGCAGTAATATTTTATCGGGATACAATCCACAGTGGTTACTAAGGTCTAAAAGGTGATTAACGATGGCCATTGTAGCAGTCATCTCCTTTTCTCTCTCGCCCTAGATGAATGCCTTTGTCACCTAAAGGGGTGAAGCTTTGTCTACAAGATGCTCAGACCTGTTCATGCATCATGCGCAAATTTGTGGTCAAGGTTTTGTTGTATGTCAAAAGAACACTCCCTCTCCCCTCAGCCATGGTTTAGCAGAGTTGACAGAGCTGACACAAGGTGGCTACCAAGCTCAGAGGTGGTCACAGTAGTCCACCTGTCAGGCCGCCTCAGACTCGGTATTTTATTGAGTGCCCATCTTAAAACCGTCTTGACACCGACTCAACAATCCCTCCACATTCCTATGGGCCAAGAGACAATGAATGAACCTTAATAGTAAATAAGTGGATTGGATAATCTCGACTAAATGAACAAAGCTTTTTGTTTCTCTTTATTTTTCT